TGGGTATTGATGAAAAAATCAGGCATATTTAAGGGGACTGATGTCTATGAGTCTGTGAAATGTGGTGTGTCATGACTGAATTGAAGCTGTTGGGTCTTTGCGGAGGTATGCGCTCTACTGAGTGCTAGTTCTAGTTTGATTGTTTGCAGGAATACACAAAAGTGCCATTCTAGACACACACACACACACACACACATTCTAGTTGTTTTATTTGTAAAAGGGCAACTCTTATTTTATGTATTCAATTGATTGTTTTTTGTTTAATTCATTTTCTCCATTTCTGTGTCCTTAAGGTTGCCGGTGTTGGAGTCGACGGCCTCGTCAGGTGACCTGTCTCGACCCCACCACATCGTTTCAGTGGTGCCCAACCGTTACCCGCGCTGGTTCACCCTGAGCCACATAGAGTCTCAGCAGTGTGAGCTGGCCTCGACCATGCTCACTGCGGCCAAAGGTACAGATATAAACCAACGTACTAACGCTAACTCTCAGATAGCATTAGCAACACACACATAACACCTATCATTCAGATCATTAACCTGTGGGTGGTTTGCGATGTGGAGGATGATTGGTTTACATACAAACAAGTGCATACAATTAATTTGTGGTTTTTGTGTCTTCTAGGTGACAGTCGGAGGCTGGAGACGGTCCTGGAGTCCATCCAGAAAAACATTCACTCCTCGTCTCACATCTTCAAACTGGCACAGGACGCGTTCAAGATCGCCACTCTGATGGACAGCCTGCCTGACATCACACTTCTCAAAGTCTCTCTGGAGTTAGGACTGCAGGTACACAGACATCCAGTGTTTGTCGTGTTTTTATTTCATATTTTCATAGTCCGAAAAGACAAAACCAAAACCAAACAAATTTACACAACATCACTTTGTTAAAAGTGTCTGCTCAATACTGTGTCCCACTTTGTCTCTTTGGAAACAACTGTAAAACTTCTTTGAATTCCTGAAATTAGCTCACAGCTCTTGAGGATGAAATCTCCTGTGCAGGCCACGGTGGTTCAGTCATGTATAAATCCCTTGCGTGCACTCTGGTGTTCTTGAATCCTAATTTGGAAAAAACTTGTGATGTAGTTATCGTCTTGGAATTTGGGAACACCAGTGTTTGCACTGCAGGGTGCACAGGGTGCTCCTTATTACATGGCCATTTACTGCCATGCAGAGCAACCACCGGACCTCATGACTCCTGTGATGTCTACCCTGCCAACACAGATCAAACTCCTTTTGGAATCTGAAAATCTGAACATGTCTGGATGTTGGAAAAGGGTTGAAGATTTGATCTGTCGATTCAGCCCCTCCACCACTCCATCATCCACCTGCAGGCTCCGACTGGGAGGTTTAAAGACATTTGCTCATCACTCCCCATTATATAAGTTTATTTACTTGGGGGAAGTGATGAAGTCAGAGCCTAAACTATGATGTGCTGCTGCAATAAACATTTCAAACTTGAGTCGTCTGACTAAAGTGATGATCTATCTTCACTGCTGGCACTTCATTGTTTTTTTTCTGTGACACGGGCAAAACATTTTAATGCAAAAATGTTCTTGTATACATTGTGGATTTTGATTTGACACAGATGCAGTAAAAATGTTGTTATATGTGGTTATTAAACAGTTGACTTCTTCTGTGCAGCCTGTACTGTGATGGTAAACTAAACTGATCTTGGACAAAGTGCATTTAAAATGTAATGCTATGTCTTCTTCAACTCACATGTCGTTCGCTCTGCTCCTCATCCCCTCGTCCTCAGGTGATGAGAATAACTCTGTCCACGTTAAACTGGAGGAGGAGAGAGATGGTGCGCTGGTTAGTCACATGTGCCACAGAAGTTGGTGAGTCACCTCGGCTGGTCCCCCTTTTTTTTTTTTTTATTCTTCGCTTTTTCTGTTCATTTCTGATCACTCTGTCCTGTTTGTGTCCTTCAGGTGTGTACGCGCTGGACAGCATCATGCAGAGCTGGTTCACCCTCTTCACCCCCACAGAGGCCACCAGTATCGTGGCCACCACCGTCATGTCCAACAGCACTATCGTCCGCCTCCACCTGGACTGCCACCAGCAGGAGAACCTGGCCTCATCCGCCCGCACACTCGCCCTCCAGTGTGCAATGAAGGACCCTCAGAACTGCGCCCTCTCTGCTCTGACACTCTGTGAAAAGGACCACATTGCCTTCGAGACAGCTTACCAGATTGTACTGGATGCGGCATCGACAGGGATGAGCTATACACAGCTGTTCACTATAGCACGCTACATGGAACATCGCGGTTACCCAATGAGGGCGTATAAGCTGGCGACATTAGCCATGGCTCATCTGAACCTCAGTTACAACCAGGACACACACCCGGCCATCAACGACGTGCTGTGGGCCTGTGCCCTCAGCCACTCGTTGGGAAAAAACGAGCTGGCCGCCGTCATCCCCCTGGTGGTCAAGAGTGTGAAGTGCGCCACCGTGCTCTCGGACATTTTGCGGCGGTGCACGCTGACCACGCCGGGGATGGTATCTGCACTGCACAGCCGCAGGAACTCTGGGAAACTGATGTCGCTGGACAAGGCGCCGCTCAGGCAGCTGCTGGATGCAACCATCGGGGCCTACATCAACACCACGCACTCACGCCTCACACACATCAGCCCGCGCCACTACAGCGAGTTCATCGAGTTCCTGGGGAAAGCCCGGGAGACTTTCATGATGGCTCACGACGGACACATTCAGTTCACGCAGTTCATAGACAACCTGAAACAGATCTACAAGGGCAAAAAGAAACTAATGATGCTGGTGAGGGAGAGGTTTGGCTGAGGGTGTGGCCGGGGGTCACCGGATGCTCCCCCCTCCTCACTCTAGTACTTTTCTATTAACTTGAGTCTGCCTTTTGAACTTCTTTTGGACTTATTAAATAGACAAGTAAAAAAGAGGGATGTGACTTGTAGAATGAAGCAAAAAGAGAAAGGAAAAGATGACAAAAAATCAACAGAGCCACACGCGGTATTATTGTTCTTGCTGTTGTTATTGTTATAAACATTATTACTATTATTATTATTAATAATATTATTACTACTACGTGTACAGAAGTGTTTTTATTTTTCAGAAGAGAGGAAATTTGTCACGTTGTGAATGTTGTGCGTATTTCTCTACATGTGTGCGAGAGGAAAATGAAAAGTGAAATGGCTTTTTGTTATTTTTATGATTTAAAACATCCTCTTTTTCCCCCCTTTTTGTTTTAGAGTATATTGAGTAATATGTAGTCAAGTGGCTGAAGCCCTTCTACGATAGCGCTCGTGTACAAACAAGAAAAGAAAAGAAGACTAAAAAAAACGTCTCGACATCCTCAAAGAGAAACTAAGGCTTTAAACCACACAGAGCACCTCCCTCTGTCTAGGCCCTCACCGGTGGGCGCTGGGCAGCACTGCACAGCTCGGCTCGGTTCGGCACAGCTTGGTTTAGCACTGACAGAAAGCTGCTATCAGCATTTCTTCAGACACAGCAGCAGCAGCAGCAGCAGCAGCACTTGAGCAGCCATTAGTTTTCTCTGGGTCCCAGGCATTAGCTTCATTAGACACACACACACACACAACAATGCTCTTAGCTAACTCGTGTTGTTGTTACTGTTGTAGTCTCACCCACCCACATCACGAGTAGCTGTTTCACCTGTTTTACAGAGGACGGGAGGCAGTGACGACACATTAGACAAAGATACTGAGTATTATTGTTACATTAATGTCATGCAGCACCGCTGGGTTTTTTTCAACAGCCCAAATTTGGCTGAAGAACTGATATAGTGTAGTTTTCTATAGTTGAAGCAGATACCCAGAGGGAGACGACTACCTCATGACACGATACTGAACCTGCTCCCAGTTTTTTCTTTTCTTGGCTATCACGGTATTTATTATCTCGGATGAGCCGACAGTGTTAATGAAACCAGAGATTCACTAGTGAGACCAAGGTTATGAGGAGATTCTGATTCCTGCGCTCGGCTCTGCTGTACGTCACCACCCTGGCATCGGTACTTATACAACCCACCCCCCAAATAAAAAAGAATTGGCTCTGACGCACTCTGAAGATGTATGTCAGCCCCCCCCACCCTCTCATCTCTACAGCCACCATTGCACGGTATTTTTTCGGATGAGGCCAGTGTCATTTCCCTCTGTGCATGTGAATCATAGAAATTAGACTTTCTGCTGTTATAGTTCATTGTGTGGAACCTTCAGTAATTGTCAACCAGAACGTTCTCAGGGATTTCTCTACACAGGAATAAAAAAAGGCGGAACAAATGAGCGACTGACTACAGGAAAAAGAAAAGACAAAAATACGACCCAACATGAGCGAGCATTTATTGTACTCTGTATATATGCCATAGTATATGTCTGAATATGGAGGATCTGAAAGTATATGTTAACTAATTTATACAGAGTATTCTATGTAATGTGAAATACTTGAAGCCGCTGTAGTTTGCTCTCTCTCGCTCTCCTTTTCTTTCTCTCTTTTGTCTTCTCTCTCTCTATTTTTTCCTCTTTTTGTTGAAAAACAGAACATATCAGGAGGACTTGACTTTTTTACCGCGTTGACGGCTTTTTGGACTCGCAGGGCCGCACTTGTTCATACTTGAGACGCTGGACCCCGTCAGAAATGCAGGTTGAGTCAAATTGGTGATGGCGGAGAAGAAAAGAAAAATTCATTCCTGCTGACTGAAGCACAGGGAGGGGAGAGAGGTCGACTACTTCAGGACATCGGTCGATTAAAAAAAAAAAACACAATAAAGGATTTCTTGAAGTACTTAATTATGCATGTAAGCTGTTGTACTAGCACTCGTTCTCCATTGGATTCTTTGGGGGTGAAAAAAAACTATAATGTGCTTTACACAGGAGCTAATTGAAGAAGAATCTGGTTAAAATAATCATGTATTATGTGTCCAGCCTTACATGCTTTTAAGGACATATCTCGGCTGAAGTAATATAACACTTGTCGGAGCAATTTAATAGTCGTGCAACTCAATAAGGCTCGCAGTGATAATTATGCACAGGTTCAATCTATCCTGGATTCATAGTTCTCTCTTCCATCCACCACAGAATTGCCAGTGTCTCCTCTGCACTGTTCAGCTGTTCAGCTCATAATTGCCTTTCTTTTTACCTTCTTCTTTGTATCAGAGTTTTTTCTCTCTTCTTTTTCTCTGTGCATCTGTTTCTCTATTTTGTGTTGATTTGAGATAAAAAAGCAGCCTTTTCTCTTGCCGTGTCTTAACGCTTTAAAGTAACCAAACAGGAGATCTGTCTAACAACCAAACGTGTTTGAAAGAGGTGAGAGACGACCCACCTTGGTCCCAGCTTTAGTGTCCTTAATTAGTAAGTGAATGGCTGTGTAACTCATGCTTTAACAAAGCAATTCCTCACGTGTGTTTGGTGGAAAAAAAATCTTACATTGTCCAGTGTCTCTTGTTCTCTTCAGAAACAATTTCCTCTGAGTCTTTCTAGCTGTTTTTATTTCGGTTTTTTTTATTATTATTTTTTGTTTGTTTGTGTAGGAATCTTCTGCTCTCCCAGTTTATTTATTACAATGACCCATGTATACATGCTTATGAAATTAAGATTTGATACACCGATATCAATTTATTTATGTAACTAAATCACTGTTTTATAATCTTGTTAATGAGTCAATAATTGATTTTTTTGTTTTTGTTTTTTTGTTTTAATAAAAGTTAGTTTTTGAAATGTATATTCACGTCAAGAGCTGAATTTTTTTTGGGGCTGTCATGGGTCGTTATGAAACTGCGGCCTGCGATTTGAAGGCGTGCGCTGGTCGACTCATCAGTCAGGACGGTGCAGATCTCCATCAAACAGCAACGTCAGAAAAAAAAAACCAGAGAGGGATCACTCTCGCCGGCAGCAGCCTTCATGCTGTCATCTCAGGCGAGCTGACGAGGAGTATGAAATGAATCAATTGATATTCCCGTTGTCTTTGTAGCTGCTGTCATGCAGCCGGGGCTCAGCCAACCACAATAACCTGTTTACATGCGTCCAACGTCGACAGTGGTGTCACAGGACGACTAAATCAGTGTATGTAGTTTGTCAGGTGTGTTTGTGGAGACATGTTTCTGTGCGTGCTCCTTCTTGTTTGCATGCCTCTGTGTGTCTGCATGTGTGTTCTTGCACGCGCATATATGTGTGTGTGTGTGTGTGTGTGTGTGTGTGTGTTGAGGCCTTTAGGGAGTGAGTGGGAACAGGTGGTAGCTCCAGACTACAGGAGCTCCTGACAGCAGAAAGGTCCCCAGACTCCCAGCCCCTCATTAAACATTGACACAAAAACACTGCAACTGTCTGCGTGTGAACAGTAATGAAGCGCAGACGGCTACACCGGCACACACACACACACACACACTCTGCAACTTAGCACAGCACGAGCTCTCGGCCCGCGTTCCCTGTGTGTGTTTGTGCGTTGTCCATCTGTGTGCGCTCATTAATGAGGCACATTTGTCCATAGAGGTGTCCACTTAGATATTGAGGAATTTGTCAGGTTTAGAAACAAAGGCACCCGTCTGCTGTCAGATGCCAGACAGAACTGTCCATTTGTTATGTGACGGATGCCTGGCTTTGAGAAACTGTGTGTGTGTGTGTGTGTGTTGGATAGTAAAAACACTCCTGCATGCGTGTGTAGCCATGCGAGTAAGCGTACACTTCCGTGTGTATGTGTCAGTGTGTGTGTTAGACCACTTCCTGTGTGTCTGACCTGTGCTCAGGTCCCTGCTCACTTCCAGTTGGTAATGACGTCCCCTGGGTGCAGCTTGGTGCAGCAGCCTCCTCCGGCCTGTCTCACTGTATACTCCTAATGACATCATGATTACACACTGGCCCCTTTCATGCCAAAAGCCTTCCTCATCATCACCATCAAAACTATCTGGAGCATTCCCTCCCTCTCTCTTCACAACTCCTCACACACACACTGGTTCACGGCTTCACAACACATCAAGGCCTTGACATGTTCTTGCAGAGCTGTAGATCTTTACGCTTTATAGTTTCAACCGTGGAAAACAACAACAAGAAAACCTTCGAAATCACAATGACACTGAGAAATCTAGTTCTGGAGCAACTGTGTATAGTGAAGCTCAACAATGGCAAAATGTTCTTTGTCTTTGAAAACCCTTATCTGTGTAATACTTTTGTTTTAAATGGCAATTAACAAATGCCAATGACCTGATTTCAACCACAGCAGGTTTCTACAAGGAACATGCTTCAGCTTGTTGTTAGAGGCAAAAGTAAAAGAACTTTAAGGGTATGATGTTTGATCTTTTGAAATACTGAATTTAATTCTGATGCAGGCTGAGGTCATACATGGGAAGGCAGACGATGATGCAAAGGTTATAGGGAATCCACAGGCACAAAATCAAGAAACAAACAAGGAGTCAAAAAAGGAAAAGGCAAGAAAACAATTGCAGTAAAAAGTACAGTGCACAGGCCGTCTCAGAAACAAAAGCAGACAATCCACATTCTGGAAAGCCAAAGCTCGCCATGAAGTGCAGAGACAATGTGGTGTGTGAGCAGGTGTAGATACATACTGGGTGACTGATCAGTGCTGACGTGCAGGTGTAGCGAGTGCAGCGGAAGGAAACTGAACAATGTGAAGGAGTGAAACTGGAATCCATGAACAGAGAAGCCCTGTCTCATTTCAGGGGTCAGCTGAAGAAAGACGTGGTCCACGTCGACCGAACCAAACTAAATAGAGACGGTCTGGTCTCTGGTAATTGCGTCACCACCTTGTCCCGCCCTTGCAGCCATTGTCTAGCAACAGCACATCTGTTTTGTTGAGTCAAAGCCCGTTAGAGATGAATTCTTCTGACGTTTTCAGTCAGATGTCAACAGTTAGTCACTGAAGCGCAGTGACCAGGTGGAGTCTCTGTTGCTCGGGGGTGGAAAGACATGTTTGTTGACCGCATTTGATGGAGCTTTCATATCGGCACACACGTTGAGCTGCAGTGACGCAATTGGTCTGTATGCAATGCAGCCTCCGCAGAATGCGGCCCCCGCATGGAGACACTGCGAGTGAGCTAAAAAACAAAACAACAAGAGCTCAGTCCAGATGGGTCCTCACAGTTACTCATCTTTTCTGCTGATGGATAAACCGGGAGATGCCCATCCAGGCCTTGGAAGTCCTCCAACCGTAAGTCACCTGATAATGTCTGTAACAGGTAGGATCCGAGATATCCAAAGGGTTTCCTCCCACTTCCCGACCGTACCCTTGTATGAAACCTGCACTGCATTTGTGGATCCATGTTCAGTTTTCTCCCGTTACCTCCGTCACCCAATATAATCCTTCCAATAATCCTTTCAGTACTTGTGGAGTCAAACTATCCAAGAAGATCATGGAGTGCTCTTTTCAGTAGCTGGGAATGAGGTTTCTCTTGTAACACTACCTCTCTCTGCAAAAGGTCTTTGTGGTGCATCGAGGTTGCTATCATTACAGAGAACAAAAAAATGATCATAGGCATGTGTTCTCCAACACTGCCCGCAGCATCAGGCCGGCTACCACAGGGACCGTCTTCCTTTCCTCCTCGTCTTACAGAAGGCCGTTGGAGTTTGATCTCCTCTCTCCCCCTCCATCGGCCCCGAGGCATCTGATTAAATGCTAATTAAAGCCGTTAGCGCTGCTATCACCGCTGCTAACTCCTCTCTTTCTGTCACAGAGATTAATGCCCCTCGTTCATCATCCCACCTCGCCCAGCCTGAGTACCTGCCTCGCTCACAAAACCTGATCAAGTCATCAGCCCCAAAACCCCTCTCCTTGGCTCCCTCCCACCGCATGAAGATGGACGAGGGGTTTAAATTTTAATTTGAAAATTGCCCTCAATTACTTCTGCGGCGACCACTTGCCAGAGCTTCTCATGTGGTTGAGTGGGAAGGGGTTACAGCGGCGGGTCAGTGGCCGTGATGAGCGATAAGGGGACATTAATAAGAAAGGCAGAGGTTCATTTAAAAGCAGAAAGGACGGAGGGAGCAGCTTTCTCATTATTTAACTCCCCCAGCTTTATTTAAAGGACTTTATTTAAGGATACCAAGTTAATGTGTCCTCCAGGACAGACGGTTAAAGCGCCTGACAGAGTGAGAAAGTTACGGCCATAACTTACACCCTGAGCACACACCGCGGTGCCATCTTTTTTACGTCTTTTGACATTCTCGCCGTTTTCAGGCAAGGCGGAACGAGCCTCAGAGGGACATAAAATGTTAGAACAAAGTTACACACATCATTTAATTTTATTCTTTCACAATTTCTGGCCCACAAATGTTTTATTGGTTCCAATATCAGTAATCATTATAAGCTATTGGAAGATACCGAGCTATGTATAACAAGTCAGCCAAATGTCATTTGAACCAACACCAGATCGGGGGAGCCGGGCTCAGGAATATGTGGCTCCTCTGCAGGGTTGTTTTGTTTTATGCGTATCATTTTGACGATAGCGTTTTTTTCCCTCTGTCTCCGATGCACCTCACAGCTAAAAGTTTTTGGTTTGTGTGGCAGCTTTGCTATCATTGTCTGTGTGAGTCTTTTTAAGGTCCTGTTGTGTGAATTTCTGCATCAGCACTTTGGCAGATTTATTGAGGTTTTATTCTCAGTTTCATGATAAACAAACTTTGAGGAATAACACCAATTTCTCCTCTTTTATCCCAAAACTGTGCGTGTACTTCCCAGCGAGTCATCCAAATGTTTCCAACGACAATTAACACATACACTTGACTATTCCCACCCAAAAATACTTTCATCTCATATCTCACTGTTATTACCAACATGCTGCCGGATGCCTGTCCAAAGGCGTTAAATCTGTCTGCCAATGTTTATAATGTTATAATGAATGCTGGGAAATGGAGGAAATCGCACTTGACTGCTCTTTTCCTCTCCTAATGGCTTTCGTAGCCATGAATGCACATGTAACAGGAAGCCGTGTCTTTGCTGTGTTTGGAATTCACCGTTTTGTAGTTTGTCAAAGGCAAAATGTTGATGAAGACTTTGCATAGAAAGAGAGAGAGAGCTGAAAACCACTCCTTGCCTGCCTCAACATTCTTTTAGACTTGCAGAATAGCCCTCGGAGCCAAAAAGAGCCTCGTATTCCAGGTACAGTGACATTTAATAGTGTGTGTGTGGAGCCAGGGCCGCACTGCCCAAATAAACAACACCACAATCAAGGTTAGCTGGCGTCGCAGGAAGAGATAGCTTTAACATTCCAGCACTCCTTGATTAAAAGCCTAAATGAGGAGCAGCATGATGTCCCCCCCACTCACTCCGTCATCCATCCACTGCCTTCTTTTTTCTCCTTTTCTTTTCCGGCAGCGTCAGGCACCATGCGTCCGGTGAACAAAGAAGAGGGAAGAGAGACAGGGAGAAAGAGGGATGGAGCGACAGGAAGAGGAGAGAATGAGAGCATATATCAAGGCCATTTTCAGTGACATTTGTGCTCTCGTGGCGGAGAGCCACTATGAATATCAATATGAACCCATGGAGAGGAAACATAGTCTTTTTTTTCTTCCCCGCCTTCTTCTTCTCACTGGGCTATTCAGGCACACAAGAAATCTATTCAAGTCAATGTAATGGCCAATCTGTGAGGCTGTGCATGGCCGTGTGAGCGGAGCTGCCTCGGCTCCACATCTCCTCTCTCCCCTCTCGTGAGTGCGGCTGGGT